GACCTTAAGCTCATCTAGTGAAGACCTTAAGCTCTTCTAATGAAGACCTCAAGCTCTTCTAGTGAAGACCTTAAGCTCTTCTAATGAAGACCTCAAGCTCTTCTAGTGAAGACCTTAAGCTCTTCTAGTGAAGACCTTAAGCTCTTCTAGTGAAGACCTCAAGCTCTTCTAGTGAAGACCTTAAGCTCTTCTAGTGAAGACCTTAAGCTATTCTAATGAAGACCTTAAGCTATTCTAATGAAGACCTTAAGCTATTCTAATGAAGACCTCAAGCTCTTCTATGGAAGACCTCAAGCTCTTCTATGGAAGACCTCAAGCTCTTCTATGGAAGACCTCAAGCTCTTCTATGGAAGACCTCAAGCTCTTCTATGGAAGACCTCAAGCTCTTCTAGTGAAGACCTCAAGCTCTTCTATGGAAGACCTCATGGTCTTCTAGTGAAGACCTCAAGGTCTTCTAGTGAAGAAGATCTCAAGGTCTTCTAGTGAAGAAGACCTCAAGGTCTTCTAGTGAAGAAGACCTCAAGGTCTTCTAGTGAAGAAGACCTCAAGGTCTTCTAGTGAAGAAGACCTCAAGGTCTTCTAGTGAAGAAGACCTCAAGGTCTTCTAGTGAAGAAGACCTCAAGGTCTTCTAGTGAAGAAGACCTCAAGGTCTTCTAGTGAAGAAGACCTCAAGGTCTTCTAGTGAAGAAGACCTCAAGGTCTTCTATTGAAGAAGACCTCAAGGTCTTCTAGTGAAGAAGACCTCAAGGTCTTCTAGTGAAGAAGACCTCAAGGTCTTCTAGTGAAGAAGACCTCAAGGTCTTCTAGTGAAGAAGACCTCAAGGTCTTCTAGTGAAGAAGACCTCAAGGTCTTCTAGTGAAGAAGACCTCAAGGTCTTCTAGTGAAGAAGACCTCAAGGTCTTCTAGTGAAGAAGACCTCAAGGTCTTCTAGTGAAGTGACCTCAAGGTCTTCTAGTGAAGAGGACCTCAAGGTCTTCTAGTGGAGACCTCATGATCCTCTAGTGAAGACTTCAAGCTCTTCTATTGAAGACCTTGCTGTTGGTGTCTGTGGTTTAAAGAAGGACTGGTTTTGCATTTGCAAATTGTTTAATCAAACACTAAATTCCTTACCATATAGCCCCTTACCCCAGTGTGCACCCAAAAAAACTCTTCAAATTAAAATACATCTTTGGAGGATATCTGCCTGAAAGTGATTTAAGAATATGGAGTACAACAAGATGACTATAAAACAAACCAAAAGAAAAAACTAAACAAATAAAACCAAATAATGACCATCAAGAACGAAACCCAAAGAACCTCAGATAAAGCCAACGATGCGACGAGTGTAGGCAACAAACTCAACAACTTTGAAAGCGACATAAATATATTTAGCAACAACAACAAAAGTACAACTTGATAAAAAGTTATGTGTACATTTATGCACCTATCTTTGGCACTTTATTCACCTATTACATTGTTCCTTTATGCCATTTTCATTTCCTTGTCTCCTTGTCCTTGTCTTTGGCACCTACGTGTGTACCTAAGGAAGGGATGTGGTGTGTGTGTGTGTGTAGCTGAATATGAGATGCTGTTGCTGGTCTTCCTTGCGCAGCACCAAATTCTCCTCTTTTGACGTTGATGCTATTGCCGCTGTTTCCCCAAATCCGGCAGCATTGGCATCATACCACTGATATATGAGGTGTTGCTTCTTTGTATATTTCATTTCTTCCTTTTTTGTCGTTCTTGCGTGTCCGCAAGTCCATTTTGTCGGCCGGTATTTCAGCAAGCAACGATTTCTTGTTGCGCCGGCTTTCTCATTTTTTTTTCGTTTGAGTAACCAAAAAAATATTGGAGCCCCAGGAAGAACTTGGGAGAACATTGACAATGTCACTCTTTCTATCTCAGTGTATGTTGTCGTAGGTAATTTCTCTTTACATTGTTGCTGAGAGAGTTGGCAAATGACAAAGTGACATTGCGCATGGAGAGAACATGAATACGATGGGCATATTAATGTTGTGTGCAGGGATGGACATTTTTAAACCATGGTACATTAATCACTTATATCATGTTTACCCTTTTTATGTTGAAAAAGTACTCTATCGTGATTTATTTGATTGATAACATATTCACAATAGAGAATAGCAAAAGTGGCCTACCTTATTTCCTAAACAAGTGTATTAAATCAGAGGTTGAATTAATTGACAGACAATCAAGGTTCAGACGAAACCGCTGAAGCTGGTACCCTAAAATTTTGCAGGCAGGCCAGTCTTGGTGCGTGGGCATGTGATAATGAGATTTACTGATGGAGTGCAGGATAGACGTACGGAAGGGTTTGTGGAAATTCAAACTTTAAGGTTACAAAAAGGTGAAAAATGGTACTAAACTTCTTAATTGGTACGATTTGGTATTATGTGAACGGATAGAGCTAAAAACTTGAAATTTGGTATGAGAATCAAGATTGGAAAATAAGTTTGATATTTGAAGTTGGTTTAGTAAATATGTACTAAGTGTGCGAACTATATTAGGGTCGCTGTTCTTGTGTAGTCTGGAAATGTGTACTATAATTGTTCGAAAAGTTCTAAATGTTCTAAATTTGGTATTTGGAGAAGCGATGGGGCTGGAATTTTCAAATTTGATATTTAGACTACTGATGGTATCTGTGTTTGAGATTTGGCGGTGGTTTGGAAATGTGTCCAATATTTGTAAGAAAAGTACTAAATGGTACTAACTTTTGGTGTTTGACGAAGGGATATGGCGGGAATCCTCAAATAAATATTTGTATCTCTCTTGATATCTAACGTTGAGTTTTGGCGGTTGTTTTGGAACTGTACACTAAAATAGCTCGAAAAGTACTAAATTGTAGTAAATTTGATATCGGGTGAAAATATAGAACTGAAACAGCTGAAATCCTGACACCAGATGTAGATGTCACTGCTAGTATCTCATGTTGAGATTTGCTGTTGGTTTCGGATATGTGTACCATATTTGATCGAAAAGTACTAAATTTGGTATAAGGTGAAGGGATAGGACTGAATTTCCCAACTTTGATATTTAGGTCTCTGCTGATATCTGGAATTGAGATATGCAAGTGGTTTCGGAAATGGGTACCAAAGCACGAAAGTACTAAATAGTACTAAATTTGGTATTGGTCGAAGGTATAGACCTGAAATACCGAAATTTGATAATAAGGTCTTTGTTATACCCTTGGCCATTGGCTAGTGAGGGTATATATAATTTCATATGGCCAAAACCTGCCTCATCGAAATAACGGTTTTCGACCCTAGGTCTCTTTGGATAAATCCGTTTCAAGACGTTTGGAGTTGATCTAGAGATATCCATCCGTCCATCCGTCTGTCTGGCTGGTGCGCACGATAACTCTCTAAGGGAGTATCCGATTTGATCCAAACTTGGTACATCTTAATATTATTGTCAAACTTACATCGATTTCGGAGATTGACAATATCGGTGCACTCCTCCTGGTACATCCTCCACAAAACGTCGAAAGTTTCAAATGTGTGAACCCTATTGTCTTCAAATTACACACATCACAATATTTTTATTAACCCAAGTTCTGCTGTGAAGATGGGATATATCGGCGAACTCCTTCTGGTACTTCCCCCACAAAGGGCCAACATTTTGAATATCCATGAAGCTCATAAAACGCGAAATTAACCTCCGATTCCATTGAGACTTGGAAGGGTCACAATTTGTAATACTTATATCTGTCGTAACTTGCGAAACATGTCGGAGATTCTTTACAACGTGCTATATCTAAATTTTTCTTTTAACCAGAAATCGGATATGAATATGTAATTTATCGACATTTATGATTTCACTATATCTGTTATATCTGTTACATCACGCATATATTTTCACGTTTTCCAAAAATTTCCACATTTCTCATATAAAGTCTAGGAAGAAGTAGTCGATGTAGTCCAAATCCTGCACGTTGTAATATTTTTATCTGTCTTAGGTCAGATACGAGTTGATCAATATTGGTCACTGAGATTATTTTACTTGTTTTGTTTGCAAAATGTCGAATTTTTCTGGAGGAGATATCGGTAGCATTGGCCCTATTCGGCCCACCCCTGAAGTCATGTAAGTTTGGAAGAAATATTATGATCTATTATATTTTGTCTAAATTGGATACTCAAATGTCCTTAAACGGAATTCGTCCAGAGTTATCAAAGATATCTCTCTAGCCACAAGGCTTACGAGTATATTTACAAATACTTAATATATCCACATCAGTAGATTAAGTTCAAAAGTTTATTCTCTCGGTGCCTCCTGAACGTACTTAGCCGAAAATGTCAACATATTTAATAATTCTTAATTTTATAATCGTCGGCATCAATTTTTCAAACTCGGTTGATTATTTTCCATCAGAAAATGATGGGCATATTCATCAAGCAATTCCGTTTGTAACGCCGCAACATAGTTGACAGAGATACGCCATAAAGAAAATTAACTTCCTAAGCTTAACAAATTGGATATTTAATAAGAAATATCTTTTGAAACACTGTTTTGATTAAAAAAAATTCCCCCCAAAATTGCGGTTTAAAATGTGAGCAAAATTCCTCTCCACCACAAAATATATTGAGTGTTCTCCTTGTAATTAAATGAAAGAGAGAGGGAGCAAGAATATACCGGTAAACTCTTTCACATGGCCAAACCAAACCATTGAACGAGTATTTCTCAACAAAGGAGACAAAGTACATGTAGCCTTATGTGTACATGCTACAGAGATAAAGACGAAGGAGAAGAGCCGAACCAGGAAAGGAAATGTATGTACTTAAAAACTTGGATATTGCTGCTGCATATTTGTTGGTGTTCTTGTTGGAGTTTCTTGGTTTCTTGATTTTTTGCCTGTCTTTAAAATTGTGTTGGTTAATTTTCGGCTCTCTCTCTGCGCTCTTTGGTCAGACAAACGAAAAAAACCGGGCTGGATGGCTGGCTGGCTTTCGGGTTATTTGGCGTTCGTTAAAGTGGCGGTTTTGCAGTTTAATTTTAGCTTTCAGCATCAAAGGAAATCAGACTAAAATTTGCAAATGAAAAAAAGAAATTGGAAACAAAAAATTTTAAATGAAATAAATCAAATTTAAAACAATTATAAAAAAATCAACACATGTGATTTGTGAAGAAAAAAATTAAAAAATCCTACAAAAAAATATTTAAAAGAAATAACAACCACCATTAAAACTTTGGAACTTATAATTCTTCGTCAGTCCGGTTCTGTTATAGATACCATCGTCTGGCTGGATATTTTTTTTTTCGTCTTGACTTTTTGTGGTGACCACTCAAAATTGCCAAGCATCCCAGCTAACAGCGAACCAAGCATCCAGTTTTTTGGGTGTTCCCCTTTAAAAAATTGAAAATTGAAGTAACATTTAAATCGCGTAGCATTTTAGGAAGGAGTGTGTGCGTGCGTGTGTATAATTTTTGATTAATTACTTCTTTGGCGGACATTGTCGTCATCATCAAATGGCGCTCATTCCAGTTTTGAATTTGCACAAGAACAAAAATACAATGCAATACAATTTTTTCGAAATTAAATTAAAGTCGCTAAACTCTTTTGGAATCTTTTATTGGAGAAAAAAGTGCTCGAAACAATTATGGATTTACAATTTTTGGAAAGATGTTGTCACTTGATGAGCAGCATCCATGGATTTATGAAATAATGAATATAACATCCAGCCAAACGAACGATGAAAACTTAGTCTTCGTTAAGTTAACGGATTTTCCAGCCAAAAGTTTTCAGAACAGAAAATGGTTGATCAAATGTAAGCCCAACTTGATTTGTTGTTTCATTTTTTTTTTTTTTGAAATTTTCGTTTAATTTTTTTGGTCTCTTTTGTTTCTTTTCCATATAGTCAATCAACTTTTTTTATGTATTGACAAAATTTCCAGTAGACATTATGTTGTGTACCTGTGCTCCCTTGGCTTGTATGTCGCTTTGTGTGTATGTGTGTATTTATAACCTCAAATTTGTTGCCATCTTTCGAGGGACAAGTATCCAATTCTATATTATTTGAAAATATCTTAAAGGAATTTGAGAATATTGGAGGATCTAGTATCTCATCAGCATAAAATAGTAATCTCGTATAAAAATTAGTCATTTTACGTTGTCGAGAACATAAAAAACAAATCTTCAAATATTTAGACATAGATTTAAAACTCCATTTCATATAATATACAGGGTGAGATAAAAAAAACTGCAACAAAGTCAAACGCCATAATTTTTACATTTTTTTTTTAAATTTTATTGAATGAAAGCAAAAAATGTCGAAATATCATCAAATTTTAGAATAAGTTTAGTTTGGTTCGATTTGGTCACCTTTGGCACGAATTATGGCCTTCAAACGGCCAATGAAACCGTCACACGCTGCCCAAATATTGCTCTGCGGTATTTTAGTCCATTCCCGGCAAAGCGCTTGCTTGAGGTGATCGACACTTTGGTATTTTTTTTAGTCCCAACCTTGCTTTCCAAAATACTCTAGACACAATAGTCCAACGGCTTGGTATCCGGAGATTTTGGTGGCCATTGTGCGCTGGAAATGAAGCGAGGAACCTAATTTTGTAACCATTCTTGAGTGCGATGGTGCTGAGTCCTTTTGGAATGTCCAAGGTCTACGGCCAAAATGTTTGCGTGCCCAAGGCTTTAATACACCCTCCAGAATATTTTCGCGATAATATTCGGCATTTAATCTGATGACATGGTCAATTAATACGAGCGGAGAGCGACCATCGACTTTTATGGTGGCCCATATTTTCAGCTGACCTCTTTGACAAGTAAACACCATCATTTGACAGTTCACCACTTTCGGCCAAGCGAAGCAACTCTAGCTCTTTTGAGTCTATTTTCTTTCAGTTGCGGTGTAAGTTCTTGTACTTTTTGGAATTTAAATGGCTTTATCCCGAGCTCATTTTTCAATATTTGCCGAATAGAACATTGCAATATGTTAATTTTTCGGCCACTGCGACGCGAGTTTCGATCAAGTCGCCTCCTTACTTTTCGAACCATTTCTGCTGATTTTGCTGCTTGAATTCCATCACGAATAACATTTTTTCCGGAAAATTCTCACCAAAATGTTTTGTACGCTTGTAAACAATATAATGGGCTGTCTTAGAAATGTCAGAAGTCTGAAGTTGGTTGCAGTTTTTTTTATCTCCCTGTATAGGAGAGGTTAGAATTGAGAAAAAGGGAATAAATATTAGGAAAAGGTAGACAAGTTTCCGGAAGGTTGAAGGTAGGATTTTGAAATTTTAGGGGAGATTATCAAGGCATAATTTTTCACTATTTTGTGAAATTTTGTTGTTGCAAAATGGTCAGGCTTAATCCCTGTGAAATTCTGATTCAGAATATGTAACACCCCGAAATAATAGTTCCACACTCAATTTTTGTTAAACCGATCGGCCTGTCTTTTGATTCTGTGTCGGTGAGATCTTGTAATTACTTAGACATATTGGTCATCAAACATTTTACCTAGGACTATTGATATTTATTTATATTGATATTAGTCCACACCTCTTAAGTTCCTCAAAATTTTGCAACCTACGTCAGTTGGGAAAATATTACCACGCTGTCCAACAAAGATCAAAATTGAATAATATATAAATCTTGCAAAATGTGAAATTTTTCAATATCAAACCAAGTATGAGAATGGAATACATCGGTCCGCTATTTCTGGTACATCCCCCAAAAACTCACATTTTTTGAAAAAAAAACAAAAATTAAAATCTAGTATTGAGCAGGAGGACTACCCGATATGGTTCAAATATGGCACAATGGAATATTTTCATAATCCTTAGAAAATTGTCTGCAATGGTCCAGTCATTCATGTAGTTTCTTTAAAAAAAGAGGAATATCGATGTTCGATTTTCTACAAAATGTTGCACATCCCAATATTTTAGTCTACATTGGATCTAGTGTGAAAACAAAATATGTCCGAAGTCTCTTTTCTTACCTTCCCTAAAAAAAGAATCATACATATCGCTCATATAAAAAGTACCGATTACCCGATATAATCCAAACTCACTCCGTGGTTATATTTATATCAGGATTAGGTCAGAAGCCACACAATGAAAAATATTGGCCCACTCACTAAAAAAGTCAACATTCGATAATACATAACTCTCATCTTTGCATATCCCAATTAGACAACAGCCTTAGGATGTGTCGGCACCTTCTCCTTGGTACCTCTCAGGCAAATGGTCAAAATCTTTAATAATTCTCTCCAAAGTTCCTATGCTGCAAAATGTGCTAACACCATATCTAAATTAAAAATATAATATGTAATTCCAATATTTGAGGTATATTCCCTACATAAATACATGGTCAAATGCTGAGGGGTATATATCTGTCGGAGCGCCCACTGAAACTTTCTAACTTGATTTGCTTAAGATTTGAAAATATTAAAAAATCGTAATCGATATAAACAGATTGATTATTCAATCTGTTGACCCTTTATTGACCTAAGACTGATATAAATATTACAACGTACCAGATTTGGACTACTTCCTATATTTCATATAAGATATGTGCAAATTTTTGGAAAATGGGGAAATATGCGTTAGGATATATAGCGAAAGTATTCCACTTTTATACAGATAAACATATGGGTATGGGCAAAATTTCAAGAAAATCGAACATTTATATCCAATTTTATGCGAAATCATAAAGTCCGATAAATTCATATCAAATTTCTGGATAAGAGATATATTTAGATATAACAAGTTGTAAAGAATTACCGAATTGTTTCGCAAATTATGACAGATATAAGTATTGGAAATTATGATCCTTTGTGCGTGAGGTACCAGAAGGGGTTGACAGATAAATATCATTTTCGCAACATATCTTGCGTTAGCAAAAATATTGGTATCTGTGAAATTTGAAGAGAGTTTGAGTGTTTTGTTTTTCAAAATCTTGAACTCTATAAGGGGGACGTACCAGAAGAAATAACCCGATATCTAACATCTTTATGACAGATTTTGTGTTGATGGAAATATTCAGATGTGACAAGTCTGAATGAAATCGGAGATTAGTCTAGCGTTTTATGAGCTTTAAGGATATTCAAAATGTTAACCCTTTTGTGGGGGATGTACCTGTTACAGCGGACCGATATATTCTATCTTCTCACCAGACCTTGGGTTAATAAAGACATTGTGATGTGTGTCGTTTGAAGAGAACCGGATGCTTATTTCGGATTCTATGATCGTTTTGTTTCTTCAAAACTTTGACCCTTTGTGGGTTAGGTACCCCAAGGAATGGTCCGATCTCTGCCATATTTATAACAGAACTTGTGTTGATGGAAATATTGAGATGAAGCAAGTCTGAATGCAATCGGATGTTAATATCGTGTTTTATGAGCATCATGAATATTCAAAGTTTTGACATTTTGTGGGGGAGGTACTTGATGGAGTTGTGTAATTTGAAGACAATCGGACCACATTTTATAAGAGTTATAATTATTCAAAATTTTGACAATTTGTGGGGGAGGTACCTGATGGAGTGGACCGATATTGTCCATTTTCGCATCTGACCTAGCACTGATGAAAATTTTAGGATTGGGCAAAATCGGATTATCTCTTCTCTTTCTGCGCAATAAATTTTTTCTTTGAAAATTTTGACATTTTGTGTCGGAGGTAACAGGAGTAGTGGACAAATATTGCCCATCTCCAAACTCGATCTAAATTTTATAATATTAATACGATGTACCAAGTTTGGACGAAATCAGATACTCCCTTCGAGAGTTATTGTGGGCACCAGCCAGACAGACATACGTTATTTCGGTAATACTCATATCAATTGACATAAAAAACACTTTAATACCTCGAAGAGAATTTTATTTAAAATATTAAAGAAAGGTTTTTGGGTGTATGGAAGATATAGATGAGTGTAAGAAAGGCTTGGTATGTGATATATCGGTCTAACTCGAACCAATTTTAATTCAAAATATATTTTATTCCAAACAATTGACTAATAAAATCTCTTTTTATTTTTTTTTTTCAGATATAACAGAAAGTCATTGTAACGGTATGTATTTTATATGGAATCAAAAATGAAATTTATTCAATTAAAAAAATGTTCAAGAAATTTTGTTTATAAAGTAGAAAAAAGGAAAATTTATTAGAATCCCAAAAGATTAACTATGACTGCTTTAATGCATTCAATACTTAAATCACTATACTTTCCATTTCCAGTTAATCTGAACATTTAAGTTAGCTCCAATTTTGTTTTTTGCCCACAAAATACTTCTGTGCCAAATTGAATATCAATTTTGTAATAACTTAGATATAGAGCCTAATTTCAGAAGCTCAGATTTCTTTATTGAAAAATTTCTTCCGACTATTCTGCCTCGCTTTGAATAGCTTTTTACTCATCAACTTATTTCCTCATGTAGCGCCTAAAAGTAAAAAAAAAATCGAGATTTAAAAAAAAATTAAATTTAAAAAATTAATTTGGATTTATTTTATAGTATATAATTAAATTTTTATCAAAGATTAAAGTATATAAAGTACGATAATATATTTAATATACGTGCATTTTGAGGTAAAATTTCCAGAATTAAAAAAGGATATTCACCTTCACATTTCGTATAATTTTAAAGATTGCAGCTTCTTACATCTACCTTTTTATGCTTGCTTATGTAGTGTAGGTCCTACATACTCACTTCCTATTGAACAAGTGATCAATGTTTCATTAATTTCGAAAATAGAGTAATCAACACACATTTGTTAAAAATTTTATGCTGAGCTGTAGCAAAAAAAAATCTTCAAAAATGTTTAATGCCTAAAAAAATGTAACGACATTAAATGCATTTCCTTTCATATTTTTTTTGGTTGCTCTTGTTGGTCGTTTCTTTTTTTTAACCGGCAAAATGTGCAAATATTTTCCTTACCTTGCTTTTTTATTCAATTTCTTGCACGTTGTTGGTGTAGCAGTAATCGCACTGCACCACATAAAACTACAGTCCAAGGAATTGCAAAACGACAGAGGAAAGAGAGGAGAGAAAAAAGACAAAACCCCCGAAACCTGAATGGCTGGTTTAACAGCTTGTCAGACTCCTTACACCCTTTCATAACGAGTTAACAAAGCGATGCTGTGGCCGCTGCTGCAGCATGGGTAATGGTGCACAAGCCGCCAATGGAGTCGGCGACATTTATTTGGGGTTCCTTTTAAATTGCGGCGCTGCACTGCGCGTTTCCTAAACCTAACCAACCACTCGTTGTCTGTCATATGTTTGGGTGGCTGGCTACTCGGTTGGTTGTTAAGGTAGGCAATGAGAATCTTTGTTGGTGTTGGAATAGCCAGCAGAGATGGACTGTATGAGAATTTTAACAATTTCTTCACATTGAAGACAATAAATTTATTTTATTATGGAGGACCAAAAGGTCTTCTCATAGAAGACAGAAGGTCCTCTTCTCAGATAATACAAGAATGTCTTCTTTTCAGGGAAGACCAGAAGGTCTTCTTTTCAGAGAAGACCCGCAGGTCTTCCTTTCATAGAAAACCAGATGTTCTTCTTTTCAGATCTTTGACCAGACGGACTTTTTTTTAGAGAATACTAAAAGGCGTCCTTTCAGGGAATGATGGCCAGATGGTCTTCCTATAGAAGACCAGAAGATCTTCCTACAGAATACCAGAAGGTCTTCTTACAGAATACCAGAAGGTCTGCCTATAGAAGACCAGAAGGTCTTCATATGGAAGACGAGAAGGACTTCTCAGTGAAAGACCAGAAGGTCTTCTTCTCAGAGAAGACCAGAAAGTTACTACATACAAAACCAGAAGCTCTCCTAATAGAAGACCAGAAGGTCTTCTTATAGAAAACAGAAGATCAGAAGACCAGAAGGTCTTCCTATAGAAGATCAGAAGGTCTTCCTATAGAAGACCAGAAGGTCTTCCTATAGAAGACCAGAAGGTCGTTCTATAGAAGACCAGAAGGTCTTCCTATAGAAGACCAGAAGGTCTTCTCATAGAAGACCAGAAGGTCTTCTCATAGAAGACCAGAAGGTCTTCTCATAGAAGACCAGAAGGTCTTCTCATAGAAGACCAGAAGGTCTTCTCATAGAAGACCAGAAGGTCTTCTCATAGAAGACCAGAAGGTCTTCTCATAGAAGACCAGAAGGTCTTCTCATAGAAGATGAGAAGTTCTCCTCATAGAAGACGAGAAGTTCTCCTCATAGAAGACCAGAAGGTCTCCTCGTAGAAGACCAGAAGGTCTTCCTATAGAAGACCAGAAGGTCTTCCTATAGAAGACCAGAAGGTCTTCTTATAGAAGACTGGAAGGTCTTCTTATAGAAGACTGGAAGGTCTTCTTATAGAAGACTGGAAGGTCTTCCTATAGAAGACCAGAATGTCTTCCTATAGAAGACCAGAAGGTCTTCCTATAGAAGAGAAGACGAGAAGATCATCTTCTCAGAGATGATTGTGTGGTCTTCTTCCAAGAAAAGTCTACAGGATGTTCTCATAGAAGCCCAGAAGGCAGATTTGTTATTGTGTCCACCACTTCCTTTACCTTCAACTAAAACGTACCAAATGACGTTCCTCTTTTTCCACCCAACCATCTCTGTTAGCTGCCACACGTTTTGGCATTAAACCGCCAACATTTATTTATGCCTCCTTTTACCATCACCTTTGGTTTGTCTTTCTGCTTAGCTTGTTGCAATCCTGCTGCCACAAACACATAAAAATGAAATCCATTTCATCTTTTTTTTTTGTTTTTTTTTGGTTTGCTGCCAAGCATTAAGTTGGTGATGCTGCTTACCAAAGATCTGACGAGTTGTGTGCCTGCTTCGCTGAGTGCGTACGTGAAAAGAGTTGAATCCATGGCGGTTGTCACTGCCACAACTTGACTTCCTTGAATTTATATTTTATTGTGCCACATTCTTCGTTTGCTATTTCTTAATGCCATTGTCAAAGTTGCTGCTGCTGCTGCTGTACGCGAAAAGTCGACGAGACATGCACCAACTGACTGACTGACGGATCGAGTGCATTAACGGGGCTGCATAGCAACAAAGAAGGGACAAGAGGGTAAACTGGGATTTTCTTGATGCTCACAAAAAGACGTTAAAATTTAAATATCTCTGGGAAAAGAAAGCTTGAAGTATAAGAGCGAGAGAGGAAGGGAAAAAAATAGCAACACCTAGACTTGATCTTTGATCTCACGTTGGAATGCCATGCTAGAGTGTGGAGGTGGAAATTTCCATAGAAGAAAATCAGCTTTGAGATATGATTTATGATTTTTTCTCTGGTATGAGGGATTGTCAGGTGTTAGGTAGTGTTATGGACACAACAAAAATTACAAGTAAAAAAGCAGTAAGTTCGGCAGGCCCAAGCTTTGTGTACCCTTCACCATTTGGAACGAATTTGGAAATTAAAAGAATTAATAAAATCGTTAAAAATTATGTTTAAATCTTAAAAAAATACCCAATATAGCCATATTGGATTGTATTCGAAGACGTGGACCTGCATAGGCAACTTTTGTCATAGGCCATTACAATATTCAAATACGAAACTTGAAAAAAATCCGGTGCATAATATGTAGCTAAAATCTGGGGGCTATACGAAGACCTGGACCTGCATAGACAATTTTCTGTCACTGGCTGTAATACCCTTTACGAAGTGGAATTACGAAATATGAAAAAATTCCGGTGAATAAAGTCGCTAAATTCATCAAAATACCGAATATCGGGGGTACCGATATGTGGGCCCTATACGCCCTTTATCTACATAGACAATTTTCTGTCATAGGCTGTAGTACCTATTAGGAACTTCAAATACGACATTTCAAACAATTTCGGTGAATTATACCCAAAATCGTCAAAATACCGAATATAGGGAGGTACTTATATATGGGGCCTATAGTGCCCATAACGAACTTCAAATACGAAATTTGAAACATTTCCGGTTAATAATGCACCTAAACTCATCAAAATACCGAATATCGTTGGTACTGTTGTACGGGAGCTATACGAAGACTTTCACCTACATGGACAATTCTCTTCCAGGGGCTAAAGTTCTTAGAAATAACTTTTTGTGTGGATTTTCAGACAATTTCATTGAAAAATTTGGTTCCAAGTGTCAACAGAGACCTCAACAACAAACATTATTACCGCCCTATCCGTTCACCCAATGCCAAATATAGTACCATTTAGTACTTTTCGTACAAACATAGATCGGAGACCTCAATAAAAAATTTCGGGATTCCTGAATTATTCCAAACCACCGCCAGATACTAAGTTATATATAGATTATAAACCTTTAATTTGCAGTTAAAATTCTCCGTAGTGCCTAAAAGTATGCTATAAAAATATGCATGCTAAAGAAAATAACAGTCAACAAAAAGTCCTTGGAACAAATTGTTTCTTTGGAGGTGGTGTCTGTGGTATTTTTCTACAACTGCGGCCTTCTCACTCCACAATAAACAGAAAAATAAAACTTTCGTCTTTGAAACACACATTTTTCCTCGCTGTTTTGTGTGTAGGTATGTGTGGCGGCGGCAGGCAACACAAAACTGTTGCAAACACACTTGGTGTAAGTTGAAGCTCCAGGCATGAGGGGATTTATAATGTAGCGTCATTTGTTTTACAACATTCGTGGCGTAAATACGATTGACATGCGTTCGTCTCAACGACGACGTTAATGAAGCTGCCGGTTGGTGGTGGTGGTGTCACAACACTCCCCCACCCTCAAATCCATGTTTGATGCGCGGCCTCTTTTTATGAATTTTCTTTGACTTTTCTATTTTGCTGGCTGTATGGACGTTTTTTTTTTGTTCAAATGTCATCGTTCTTTGTTGTTGTGGTTGTTGTTGGTGGTGGTGTTGCTTCTTCATTTAAATGTTGTTTTGACTGCTGTTACATGAACTGACTTGACTGACAAAGTTCAGTAACAGTTACAACGGCAGCACAAAACACTCATCAGCAGCATGTGTTCCCTTACAAGGATGGTGTTGATGACCATGGTGGCGTTGGGGGGATGCTACAGGCATCCTGATCCACCCAACCACCATCACCACCACCCATCGTCATCTC